TAGTGCCATAATCTCACAGCTTTAATTTGTCTCGTTATCACATGGACATTTACGTTTTGATGCCATTATGCTGTCCAAGGGCAATCTCATTAACAGTTTCATTCGCGAAAACAGTAAGACACGAGTTTCGACAGTAACGGCTTAATCGAGACTGTGACCGCAGGTTAAACGCGGTTTCTGAGACAAAGAGGGGGGGGGGGGGGGTGTTGGATAAAGGTTGAGCTGAATATTTACACTCTCACATACGCTAAATTGGTTACACAAAGACACACGCAGAAGATAAACAGTCTTTAGCGTTTTTTAACAGCAGTGATTTTTTTGTATGCTACTACGGCGTGTTTGACAGACCGCGTATAATCGAATTTTCCGTGTTCGGCAAATAATTACATTTATTTTCACGGACACAATCGAATCTGCGTCGGACAAACCCGCGTTGGAGGAGACTTAAATGTGAATGGAAAACAAACATTACCGAAGTCTCTGCCACGCCTCTGTCTGTTAACCAGTGCATCCTACTGGTGTAAGTTCGAAGCTGTATTTTGGGATTTTTGTTCCAAATTTGGAAGATCAGCACAAGGGTAACAATCGCGCATAATGATGACACTCCCAAATCATCTGTGCTGGATCCTAGGGTAATCAATTAGTAATATACTGAGAGTTAGGTGACTTTTCTATTGAACTATGTGTTATTTCAGAAGGGTCAGTGCTCTGCTGTAAATAATAAAACGCCGACTCCATCCCCTGAGCATTTCTCTGTATTAACACAAAGAGATACCGATCTCATTACATAAAACTTATTTCATATGAAACTTTAAACCAAATACGGAAATGATCGCGCAAAAAAGCTGATTCATATTAACATATAATTATTTTCCTGTAATTAGCTAGTCGTTTAGGTCTAAATTTACAGCTATTTTTATATTCGGCACAAAATAAACAAAAGCAACTTTACATCAATGCAGGCAGCCTTCTTGTTTAATTTAACGTATTTATGGTAGATGCTTTGTTACAACGTACTCTTTGACGATAACTGCCGTTTCAATCATTTATTTTTAGCCTCCCTGTGATATTCAACAATAACTTTATTAATAGAGTTATTGTTGAATATCACAGAATATGTGGCCTAGAATAATTTCTTTGTCATATTTTGAATAATAAAAGTTAGTACTGGGACCGGTGGTAACTGTGCTTTTACATAAGAATAAGATTGAACAAAGAACCGGTCCAGTGTCTACAGGTTACCATTTTAACCTCAAAAGGAATTTATAAAATACACATTTTAATACGTTTGTTGGAATGAAATAAACCTAAACGTTCTAGCACCACACATCGGCGGCTACACCATCATTGTGCGTAGCCTTTAAATAATGTGTGATGAAATAACTTCTGACAGTTGTTCAAGAACTCTGGTGGTGTGGGCTGCAGATCGTAAACCCGTAGGTCCTACGCCGTACTCATGCAGCACTCCACACCACTACAGACTGCACTTTTCAGATATAAATTGCCTGTTTTCAGAAATACACGCTCTGTTTCGAAATATACATTTAAAATAAATACAACATTTCAATTAACTACTGTTTTGGTGTTTGTACCACTGGATAAACAAATTATTTTATGCTATTGAGACACAGCTCTAGCATTTACGTCTGTACCTGAACTGAAAAAAAATTAATTTTTAAACTATAGTTGTGTAAAACATGTAGAATATTTACAGAGAAAGAATAACAAACTATGCCTGCATAATATTTTTAACTAAAGTTTTGTTATTTTTAGTATTGCAATGATTTGCCTGCAGTAACTAAGCAAAACTTAACTTCCTACCAGAACTTCATAACGTGTTTAATTTAATCGAATAGCACTCAGTAATTAATTTCAGAAACAGAACACATGCACACGCGGAGATCGCTACCTTCATAATGAACGTTAAACAAAATTTTAACCATGCAGTTAACATAAAAGCATACCCACATTTAAATAACACGTGTAGTAATAAAACTGATTAAGTTTAGCCTTTAAAATAACTTGACTTTAATGTACCACCGGTGAGTTCACAGACATCAAGAAAGTTGTTGACATTTAATATAAGACTACTGAAAGCATTAATAAACAAGGATTTAATTAACGATGCTTTTAACACCTCGGATAAGACAATGTCGAATTATGGGATGATAATTCACGTCAGTGCGAATCACTGTGTGCGCTCTTTTGCGCACTGTTCAGCGCACGAGACTGGGTATCACTTTGTGTTTGCGCAACAGATTAAGTATCAATTTGGGCAAAGTTTGCGAACCAATTCGAGTCTCAGTTTTCCGCAACAGTTGATGGATCATCTAACACGCCAGTTTGCGAATCACCCTACTCAAATTTTCTCACATGAACTTATGGATTAGTTTCGGTACCACTTTTCACATCAATTTGCGCATCTTTCTGCGTGCCCCCTATCTCGTCCACGCAATGGTTTGTTCAGGTTGAGTTAGGTTGGTTACAGTGGCTTCGGTTGGGTTGGGTTAGGTTAGTTTAGTATAGATTATGGTGAATTATGCTGTGTTATGTTTAGTTACGTTAGGTTAGATTCGGTTCAGTTTGCTTTAGTTTGTCTTGCTTAGGATAGGTTAGGTTATGTTATGTTTTCTTTTGTAGGTCGCGTTAGGTTAGTTCATTTAGGATTTGTTGGGTTTGTTGTTTTTTATTTAGGTTAGATTTGGTTTGGTTAGAATTTGTTTGATTAAATTGCTAACAATTTCGTGATACCACGAAATGAAGATTCCTTCGACTGAATCTGGTAACATATAGATAATTATATGGAAATAATAAATTACTGAAGACAATATAATTTATTTTGAGTTAATAATTATAATATGGCCGTCACTAACAACTGAATGTCGCGTTGAGTGGTTAGAATTCGTGTTACTTCTAACACTTGGAGGCACAAGGCTCTTCTAAATAATAATTAAATTTTTATTTCTTGCCTCTAAGGAAACGCATCTTCTATACAAAGATGAAGTGGTTAATATACTTCAAGGAAATAATTTCCTTTCATTCTGAGAACCATAGAAACCCCACAAATACATTCTCTGGGCGAAATGCAGAGTTACTGAATGTTGGTACATACAGTGACCACTGAGTTTTAAAGTGTTGATGGAGGTAGTGGTTACGAATAGCAGCTAGGACGATTATCCCTTCCTCACTACTTTCTCTCTCATTCTTTCCTCGCGTCTCCTCTTTCTTTCTTTCTCTGTTTCATATGTGCCCATCTTGAGCCCAGTACAGGTGCGGAGTATCAGAAAAACTTGCCCCTTTGAACGAAACAACATATGTTATTACGTTGCCAGGCAATTAAACGATGCCCTCCAGGTTGGTCACTCTTCTGCCGGTGCAACAGCAACAAGAGTTCCACCGAATTACCGAGACAGATTTCTTCTGTAATTCGACCTCTCTCTCTCGTCTGTCTCCCGGTCGCTGGACCCAGGGGTAGCCAACAAGAAGGGGGTAAGACTCCGGTGACGATGCACTCAAATGATAGTATCAGGCTGAAAGTGTCGCGGCCCACGGCTACAACTTTTCAAAGCTAAAATCCCGCTAGACAAATCTATATCAGGTTTTCTGTTTTTCATTAATGCTGCTGTCATTGCCGAAGTATGCGCTTTAAGGTAACTGTTTTTTTTCCCGGAAGGTCTAGATGTTCGAGTAGTTAAGATAGAAAATGTTTTTCGCTTATCTGAAACGGGCCTGTGAACTCCCGTGGTTGGAAAGTGGAGCAGGGCACATTCTAAATTTCTAAGCGCCGGGTGCGGCGTCCGTGCAACGCGCGTCTTGCTTGTGTTGGCAACGAAAATCGTGAACCATTTCAAGGTCACATCGGAAGACGGAGACGCACAAAAGCATGAGCTCCGCTGTTAAGATATTATTTATTATTTATGTTATTTTCATGATGATATGCGGGTTTAATATGAATCCAATCATCAAATAATTATCGTTCAGACGATTCCAAACATATGCATTAAAAGAAATGTCATGATCAGCAAACCTGTCTTTTAGAGCTCATCGAAATGTTCAAGGCAAACAGTTATGAACGACTTTCATGTCCCGAATGCTTAATCCAGGGCAGTGCAGCGGACATTTTTTTAATTTATTCCATCCTTCGATATTTTACTTTCTTTCATTTTCTTTTTTGCCATGGTCTTATTAAATCACGAATCCTTTCCCTCCAAAAATATTTTATGTGACACAACGACCATTAATTCGGCAAAGAACTTTGGAAATCAAACAGCTCTATCGGAGATCTTGAACTAGAAGAAGTATTCTTGTTCTTTGCCGCTTTTTCAACGCCCTGCTCTGAAAATTACGTATTGTGTCGGACGAAAGACAGAAACGAATGAAATCATTAGACGGAATTTTAGAGGCTTCGTATCGGCACCGAATGCAGATCTATCGCGTCGAATGGAACGTGAAATGTGATATTTCAGGTTCTCACAGCGGTAAGCATGAGGACGACGTCTTCTGGACTGTTGCGTAGTGCAGCGCGGCAGAAGATTACCGAAGCGCAGTTTACTCATCGTCCTGATGATGGAGGAAGTACCACTGAAATGTCGGAAAATATCTACCAGACTACACAGCCCAGAAAACAGTCGTCTCTGAGACGTTAAATGGAGAGATGGAGGACTCGGTCAAAATCTATTTGAAGATAGTGCCTTAGAATTCACCTGAAGGTTGTGAGGCAAACCATGGAAACGTTCATTCTCGATAGCCAGTTTCTCTCGTCTAGAAGCCAAAATGAGCACTGGTAAAATGTCACAGATCTAACTTCAACTTGTACCAGGCTGTTTTTCTGAAGCCTTGCAGATAACTGCTCATTTCAAACGGGTCCAAAGATGTGAAACAAAGCAAGACTAACTCCACAGTGTGCCGTATTTCTTGGAAAGGCAAATTTACTCAGGTTGTTTATACTTCTCTATACTCGTTAGGACTTCAATGGAACCTGAAGGTGTATAAAAGCTTACCTTGTTACATGACCCTGCCCTGACCCAGATGTCTCTTCCTATTCCACATCCTCAGACGTATTTCAATGAGATCCATCCTCCCATCGAAGTCCTTTGTCGTTTCAGACTGAAAAGAATATGCAGTTCTCATTGGTGCTAAGTGTTCCTCCTGTCTCACTCATCCTCATTGTGACAAAAAGAGCTCTGCTACGCACAGTTAAAATCTGAATAATTTTAACGGGTTTTATGAAATCGAAATGTTGTCTCTATTCTTAATTATACTTGTCGGAAGCCAGTTTATGAGACACCTACAACTGATTCGTGAAATATATGGATCCTACAGTTCCGAAGACTGTAAAACTAGTGGATAATGTCAAGTTCCCTGCTGCGGAGAGAAATGACTGCGAAGTCAGGGATGAAATCGAAGTGTGCCAACGAACACATGAACAGCTTCGGCCGGCCGAGCGAGCGATCTTGAGCTAACGGCCATGACCTATAGTGAAGGTACTAGCTGCTTGGTAAGGCGTGGATAAAATGCGTTTATCTCCTTACAGCGTCCTTGATCTTCCACCAGTTCCTTGTTGCAGTCAGCAAGACAACTGGGGCCCAGTATCTCAATCCAGCGTCACTTTGACGTGTTGCCTAGCAACATTGCGCGGTGGTTTTGATCATGATCTATCCAACCGCGACGTTAAGAATCGACTGCTGTTCTTGCTACGACAACTTTATGACGTGCAGCGGAACAGTGGCTCTAGAAACGTTCCACTTGTAATTCTCTTCACATCTCAAATTTCTAGCCCACAATCCTTACACTTCTCATTAGATGCTATTATCTACTGAAGAAGGGACAGCGTCGTTAAATAAAACAAATTAAACATTTACTCTTCATCGAGTATTATAAAAGTGTGGACGGGGCATGGAAGAGATGAGAGAAGCAAAAATTTTTTAGACGAATAACATGAAGGAAATGGACAATTATGAGACCTAAGCGTTGATGGGAGGATGATATTAAAGTGAAAAGAAAGATATAAGCATGTGGGCTGGATCTGACTGGTCCACGGTCCAGTGGCGAGCTCTTGTAAACACTGTAATAAACTTTATGGTTCCAAGAAGGACGAGAATTTTCTTGAACAACTTAGCAACTATTAAATTCTCAAGAAATATTCTGTTCCATGAGTTCCCTGGGCGTTAATAAAGGTGGCGACTGACTTGTAACATTTGCCTGTAATGTAACGTATTACAAATCGAGCATTACACAAGTGAAGACAGCGAACGGAGCCGCTCGATGCGAGCCGCTCACGCTCGCGGGCGCTCCATCGTGTTGTCGGTTTTTTCGCGAATCCCTTTGAGTGTTACATTACAAGTCAGTCGAGCGGCGTCGTAACGAGCATTCACGAGTTATTTAAATAAGAGTAGCGTATTAAATGGAACAAAGATAACACAACCTCCATGTCCGACATATTGAATGAAATGAATGGAGCACAGTCGAGCCGAGCGTTCAAAACGAGCATTCGATGCGCCTCACCAGTTGTGGTGTAATGTAACATGCTCGCCGCGAATGTACATTACGAGTAAATGTTACAAGTCAGTCGCCACCTTAAGAATGAAGCACTGTACGAATGGCAGTGCAGTAATGTGACTCAATTTTCGAAACTCCAAGTACATCAGTTTGCTCTGAACTTGGGTTCGTGCTTGTTATATCAGGCTGACCGTCAGGCAGCACGCAGACAGGCAGGCTGGTGTCCGATCGAGGCATGATGAACTGGTCGGGTTGTGAGATTGATCGGCGATCGCTTGGATGGCCTGGCCGACAGCAAAGTGGTTCAACAGACGATGGAAATATTACCGGACCGGAAAACGGAATCGTCGAGTGGAAAAGGCGTGAAGTCACACCGGCACGCTATGCCTGATTGCCTCTCGGCTTGGTTTTCCAGAAATGCGTACCAAATAGTCGAACGCATTTCAAAAAAGTGACGACACGAAAAAGTAACACAAAGGCTTTGCAAAGGGCATATATTTTTGTTCCACGCCAAATCTGTGTTGGACAAATTTTAATTTTGCATTTCCTCCGTTTCGCCCTACCATGTCTAAATTTTCCACTCTTACCAATAACCTTGGCACCGACAGAGTTCAGTACCCAAATCAGCGTGTGTAAATAACCCAGTAACAACCACTTATATATATATGTATGTGGGCTCAAATGTGTGTAACCATACACGTTTATGTATGCATGAAGGTGTTTAGGGCATGTTCTATTTCATGGACAATTAAAATTAATCATGGGATGTCATGATGACCGCGTGGAACCTAGTGAACCGGGACTGCTCTTGAAGTTGGCTGTCATCTCATGAAGGAGGCAGTAAGCTTTTCTGAAAATTCGATCAGTATGTACCAGACTCTACGCCTGAACACCTACAAGACAGTCGTCTTTATACTCCCCGCCATGAGAACCTCAGATCTCACTATAATGAAGTTCAGTTGATCATCTGACAGTCATTTCGGCTGGTTTCTTAAAAACCTGAATTGTAGTTCTGTGCTAATAGAACCCGTTGGAAACAGTATTCCTTTATCAGCGACAATTAGAAATTTCGTTTTACCTAAGTACTTTCATGTATTATCAACGAAAAATTTACGAGAACTCGAAAACATTTGGAACAATTTGTTCTCACTTAGGTTGACACAGAACTATAAATGAATTCCTCCATGGTAGGCAATTCATAACGTCTGTCAGAAGAAGAAGGCCAAAGGACACCATAAATTAATGGGACAGTAGTATCATGATAATCATAATCATACCCGTAACAACTGGAACAGATACAAGCAGCTCGCAAGAAATTACCAGCCTGTTATGGAACCCGAAGGCTCTTTACCGTGTTCATAACAGCCTGTCAATTGTCCTTATCCAGAAACAGACGTTTCCTGTCCAACTCTCCTACAATATACCTTAAAGATTCTTATCAATACTATCCCCCCACGTACAGCTAGTCCACATTCTCATACGTTACTTTTAAGATCCATATTTAACGTTATTCTTCTCTCTATATCTAGGTTTTTAACTGGTATTTTCCTTAAGGCTTCCAAACCAAAATTTTCTACTGATTTGTCATTCCTTCCATCCATGCGTGCTTCATGCCTCGTTTCTCTCATACTCTTCGATTCGATGATCATAATATTTGACGAAGAGTATAAATTATGAACCGCGCTGGCACTTGAATGGATCAACAGTAAGGTTATTTTTTATCATCATCGTCATCAATAACAATACCATTTATTTTCTACACAGGTATATCGTAAACATTTGTAATCGATTTCTGTTCAGTCACAGAATTTCTTAAGCGCTGTGCCGGAGCGAGAGTTTCGAAATACTTGCCTTTCTGCACCTTTTTCAATACTAAGAAGCATGATAAGAGCACTTAGTTCCTCAGCTATTCTGAAGACTATTTGTCTGCGGCATCCTACAAGGTTAATTAGACAGTGTTCATAATTTAATGTACATCATCATTTCAAGGCCAGACATTGCCCCAGGCCGACGAGCTTTCTATTGTTAAGGACATTCGAAGACGCATTGAGATTTTCAAGATCGATTGTATTTTGCTCGCTTTCCTCACGCCTAATGATTCATTGTTTATGTTCTAATGTATTTTTGCGCATGTATGTCCATAGCCATTTAACAACAATGAGATCAGAAGTTCCATTGTGAGATTTGAGGTTTTCAGACGGTGAGGATGATGATGATGATCTTCTGGGTTTTGGCGCTCTGTGGATTCGCGAGTCTATAGAGTTATAGAACACCGACGAACATCATCACCAAATGCTCTATTGTTGAACCTCACCGTTGTGCAACAATAGAATCCACGTACAACAACACTAGTGTTAGAATGACTCTGTTCTGTGGAGTTAATGACGATTTTCTGCATAAATTCAATCAAAGGAGAACTTCGATTTAGATAGAATAACGGGGAAAAATTTCTTCCTATTTTATGGATCTATCGCAGCATTATCTCTGTAAAGTGCGGAAAACCACGAGAATTCTCAAGGCAGATGTCTAGTGCGTCGGACGAGAATCCATGCCATTATATTCCTATTACAAGGGAGATTGTGTTTGTAGGGTTGTGATGGACTGAGATGGATACAAAGAAAATATCCTGGTCTGTAATGTACAATCACAGAGCGTAGTTCATCTGAAGCCGTGATTCGAATACCGTATCTCCAGAATAACTGTGAGATGTGCCAACTCACTTTTTATGTATGCCATCTATTACATTATACTATCACAGCACAAAATGACAAACATAACGCACAGCGTCTAAACAGGTTTCTGTGTTTGTGGTGATTCACAGGACACCCTTGAAACATCTCCTGACGGGCCTCTCAGAATTCCATTATACACTCGTCAAAGAAAGGGCAATAGTGAATTTGTTTAAAAGAAGATTCATTAGTCAGGAGAGGACAATTCTAAATTGATGTAAATACGAGTACCAATCACACGAAATGTGGGACAGATTAAGAGGGTGTGGCAGATTGATTAGGGCTAGTATGATAAGCCCTGACGATGGAGGCAACAAGAACCTCTAAAACTTCGTTCAATATCTGCGCCGTTAAACAAAAATCTTTGTAATTTACAAATGTTGTGGCTTATTTGAAGTAAGAACTGAATTTGCAAATGCTCTTCGGACACTGGCACAAAGGTTTAAATTATCAGCTGTACATAATTTTGTTACAAATGCATTTTCGAGACCGGAAACGTCTTTCCCAAAAGACACTGCTGTTGTCGGGAACTGTGGTGCTACAGGTGGCCATGGCTCTCGTTTGAACGAGTGTCTGAATTGTTCCAGCGTCGTGACTCACCAATATTTCATCGCATTCCTATCAGCTAGGTAGGGTAGTTCATGCTTGAAGCAGTGGTTCAGTCCAGTTTCCTAGAACCCACTCTTACGGCTGGCTTTCCTTCTGCTGTAATCAGTCCGTCCAAACCCGAAATATGCCGCCAGATATGCGTTGCATCGAATTGTTTAATGAAATACTTGATCGCCTCTGGGATAATTAAATAGCACAGATAACACGCGGCTTGCAACATCAACAGACTTTTGTAATCAGAATAAACGGACTTTGAAAGTAAACGGCAAT